ACTACTGCTTCGAAAATGCCAGATAGTATGGGGTTTTAGTTTGGCTTTTAAAACACCTTTAGATTACAATTCATTAATAAAAAAAATTCAGCTTTTCGAACCACCTTCAAAAACACTTTAATTTAGTACGAACATGAACAAATAAGAGAACTAAATTTTGAAGGGTACATAGAACCTCGGCTCTTGAACTTCATTTGTTTTCAACACAGTAAATACACTTCGTAAACAGAATTCTAAATTTGAATGAAGTACACTTTTTACTTGCTGGATAATTACCCCTGCCATGTGGATAATAAAGACTTTTTGAAAGAGACGGCACTTTTTGTGACATCTGGGAAGAATTGGGTAAAAGGTGCTCTATTAACTTTTCAAGTCACTATTCCGCACAGCGCTGGGATACCAAATATGCAGAGTAGGCACACTACTATGGGCCCCACGCCTTTTAGGGTTCCCAACAACGGATCAAAATAATATTGATTTGATCTGGACGTATTATGAGATAATTTGCGAGAGGGGGGCGAGATTTAGGCTGAATAGGTGCCTCCATAGGGTTTAATCCGGCACTGATTCCGCTGACGCTTTGCGCCTCCTGACATGCCTTTTTTTACCGACATTAAGAACTAATTTGCACGTTTTGCTTTTGTTGACATCTTGTAGCTCTATCCCAGCATAAATGGCTGGTTAGAACTTAGAAATGACACCCTGTTTACCTAAACATGAGGGGGGGTGCATGTATTTCCCTGTCCTCTCTTGTAGTATTGGTTTGTTGGTGTGTATAAATAAATTAATAAGAAAGTATATATAGTAATTTGGTAGGGTTGCTCTTTGTTTTGATCGTCAAGTTTATTAGGTTTTTTTTTTATCCCATACGCTTTTTGAGTATGTACTTTTCTTCCCTTTGCCGGTGCTGGCAGTGGTGGGACTGATTTCTATATCTCAGGTTGGCCTTTCAACTTAGGATTGTACTCATTTTTCTCTAAACCATAAAGTTTAGGAACCAGTGTCCTTTCCTTATTTCCCTTGTTTGGTAAATCGTGAAGTGACTTTGGCAGAGTCGCTTTTATCCATATGTTGTGTACAATATGTGTGATTTGTTGTCATTGCACCCCCTTGTTATTGTTTGGACTGGTACTATCTAAGTCAAATAGTTGATTGGTTTAAATTCTTAACTATTCCTATAATGTTTTCAATAGAATTTATCGTTATGCCAAAAACAATTTAAATAAGTTGTCTACATGCTAACATTTTTGTTTGGTGCGCGTGTTTGTGTTTCTATAAATTACAGTTGTTCTAATAAGCCTTAACTCAAGTCCGCATGAATGGAAGTGTGATGTGAGAATTATGAAGGCTTATTGAAACTTAAAGTTAAATAAATTGTGTTTTGAAGTTAACATAGTCAAGCCAGAGTGGTCATAAGGAAGTTCACTGATTTTTTTTTATTTATTTCATCTCTGAACTCATAAAAGGGTTGAGTTGAATTTCAGTAGGATTTGACTGAGTCATTTTATCAGGACAATGGTATACGTGCGATAGAACTCCGACCGTATCACTTCAAAAAAGGAGCACGTTAAAATAATTGATTTTTCAAAAGGGAGCTAATTGCAGCATATTTTAGGCTTGTGAAATCTGATGATAGACATGATTATTTGGAGAAAATGTTATGAACAGTTATTTCGGATTAGTCAGGGAAATTAAGTGCGTACACTTTGGGAAACAATTTAGGGGTACTGCTTGCCCAAAATTTTTTAGTCCATTTTTGCCTGCGACAAGTCGAATTGGAGGCTTCGTGGGAAACCTGAGGATAAAGTTATCCATCGTTAACGTAGAAAGAGGCTAGACAGCTGTCTCGGAAAGGAAGACAGGTTATAAGCTAGGATACGATTGTGTGGAAAGAAAATGGCATTAAGGAACAGCTTTATACTCCGAGTGAGAGAAGGAGAAAGGAGGGATAAGTCAAGGAACCCGATGAGTCAAGGGGAAATCCATATCTACGAGAGGTCGGAATAGACGAGGGTCGGAACGCATTAAACGCGGAAACAAGTCGATAGGAGACAGACATCAGGTGAGGCTGTCAAAGCGTGGGAATTGCGCTCAAAATTCAACTCTCGTAATATGATGTAAATGGAACACTGCGACTAAATTCTGTTACTGTAAATCAGTTAGATTGGAAAGTGAATTTTGGTTATGCATTAATTGTTTGGAAAGTGAATGTTGGTTATGCATTAATTGCGTACATTTAATTTAGTAAATCTGTTGGACGAAACGTGATTTTCTTCTAATTATATATAGTTTGATTAAATTTTATATTTTTATTTATTGAAAGGGTCTCGTTGTTGTTTATTTTCTTTTAATAATTTGCTCAGTTATCTGTAATGTTCCATCTATCCGTCCACACTGGGCAAAAACACCGTGGAGATCATTCCTTAGCTAACGAATGCCGAATCAATTAAGGAGGGTTTTAATGTTTTAAATTCCCCCGTTACAGCAAGTTTCAATTCCCTTTTAAGCTCTAGAAACACACCTAACCTCCATACACGTTCGCCTGATTAACTATTTTAATATCACTTTGTATTTACTTTATTATAAACATAATCCTGCATATCGCCACAACAATGGTGAGCTACCTGAACAGGAATGCAGTACTTAGAAACGAAATCGAAATAACACCAATGTCACACAAAGGCAATACAAAGAGAGCTAATCTCAAGTGTGCAATATGGAAAAAAACAATATGAACAGCCATGTTGGATTTAATTTCAAGATATCAAACAAATTTCTTCAGATAATGAATTGGTAAACAGAAGTGGTGGGCTCCATAAAAATAGCCACCATGAGGATAAGCTCTCTTAACAGAATTGTAGAAGGAGCTCCACACAACTGGAACTGGATCTGTTCTTTCACGTCCACGTGATTGCAAGTTTCAATCCTTTTTAAAACTAAGCTCTATCAGTTTGGCACTCGAAGACCAATACACCAATATGATCCTTTCAGATGACGGTCAAAAACATTCCACTAACTACAACTAAGCGGAGGTAAAAGGAAGAGTGGATGGCCTACATATCTCTGCTTGGAAATTATTCAGGCCCATATAAGTACGCTAAGTACGCAAAACTCCAACATTGTAAAACATTCCAAATTCACAACTCTACAATATTTGGTTAATTGTTTAGGTGATGTGGCTTACACAAAGTTGGAATAGATGTTGTTTTATCAAGAATATGAGTAACTTTATTTGCAAATGTTTCCTTTCTTGATGGCTTTCCTGCTCCGAAACGTGGTCCGGTATTGCCTGATCATTTCCGACCATAAGCTGTGCCCTTTGTGTGTTGTTGTCTTGTTTGATCGACTTCTGAAGTTTGTTTACTTCTGGTATCGATTTAGGCGGACTGATCTTAGAATGGATCAGTATTGTCTGTGAAGACTGCTTCCTCTGTCGGCCTTTGTTTCCCCCTCGTTGATTTCTAAGCTTTTTAGTATTTTCTTCTTTATTTGTTCAGATTTAGAGCAGGGTTGTTCGTTTTTTATGTGCTCTTAAACTCCATCCTGTGGCGATAAGAAGACCTAAGTCTTGAATCACACTTAACGCATGGGCAGTAATATTTATCTCCATCGCTGGCTCTGTGATACGTCTTGTCTGCTGCTCTGCTGGTCACTACTATCCTATTGAAGCCATCTGTATCAGAGGGTTCCAAACGCTTTAATCAAAACGTAATCGAGAACTTGTTCATTGAGGATGTTGGCGATTAAAGCGTTTTGAATCCTTTTGGAGCCATCTGGATCAGAGGATTCAAAACGCTTCAATCAAAACGCAATCGAAAACTTGTTCAATGAGGATGTTGGGGATCAAATCGTTTTGAATCCTATTTTAACCATCTGTATCAGAGGGTTACAAATGCTTTAATCGCCAACATCTTCAACGAACAAGTTCTCGATTGCTTGAACAAAAATTACCATATTATTAATCAGCTACTGAACACTTACACCATGCCATATCCTTCACAATAGTATTACAATGTTCGACATTTCATCTAAACGATTTCAGCTTTTTTCAACAATAAATTTGGCAAAGGATTGGAGGAAAGGATAGCGATTGCGATTACTTTTTCTCTTAGTCTTGATATTCTGGATGGATAAGCATCTCTCGCTAATTCAAAAAAAACATTCACAACAACGTTTAATTAACTACCACATCGATTTGAATTATGGACTGAACTTTGTGGGAATCACAGCTTCACCATTGCTAAGAGACATTCGTTTCAAAGTCAGCAACTCGTAGCTTGATAGAGTCAATATTAGAAAATAAAATGGAGAGCTTGGACAGCATATTCTACACTACAAAGGAAAGGTCATGGTAAAACCACATTGAATTTAACAAATGTATCCTTTGCACCATGGAGTCGTTCGATAATCAGGGCATGTGTTAGGAGACATGTTAAAATCAACCATTCGTACGGTAACACTCATCATGAACCAGTGGTAATTCGAGGATTGCATTCTTGAAAAGACACAGGCGCAACGAAAATAATTTCTCCTAAACATTGTCATCAACAAGCATTGTTTTAATGAAGCCTCTGGTAAATCAGGAAGCACATTTTACTTAAAACTGGAAAAGACGAACTAGGGAGCCAATACACACATATGAAGTCGCTATCACAGTTCTGGCAAAAGCAAAGCAATACTTCCTTCTCTACGCACAGCAAGTACAAGGCAAAACGAAACGTCGAAAAAACATTCAGACATCATAGACAACGTCAGAAAGTAATAGAAAAGAAAATGATACACCGGGAATATTGTGAGTGTCTCAAGACGTGTTGTCTCTGACGGAAAGCAACTGACAAAAAAAAAGATTTTACATCGATAGAAATATCAGTTACTTGTATCTGAAAGTCAAAGTTCTCCAAATGGACAACACAAATTCGGGGGACGATGACAGAGTGCACACCATCAACAATTTAATGCGTCTATTGTTCAGCGAAGTGGATATGAACTTCAATAGCGAACACTTTGGTGGCTTTAGTGGTTATAGTTTCCGCCTGGGATGCGGGAGGTGGTGGGTTCGAACCCCGGTCGAGTCATACCACAGACTAATCAAAATGGTACTAACAGCTGCCTCGCTTAGCGCTCAGCATTAAGAGTTTAATGTTAGGACTGGTTGGCCTGTGTCCGAATAATTTAACTGGGTGGGATATGATGCCCCAGTGTTAGACATCGTAGCGATATGATTGGAAAATTATTAAAGCTACGTTAAAATAAATCAAACTCCAGATCACACTTAAGTAACTAGTCAGCAGCAGAAAGAACACTAACCTTCCTTGAAAAAAAATCTTAATGTACGAAAAGAAGCAAATAACACCCATTTTACTCTTCGGTGGTTTGGAAACCTGACACTTTGTACAAATTTATCGATGGAAATGATATATAGTTTGTATTTGAACATGTAGCTGCAAGACAAGTATTTATTAAAAGTGTAGCTGACCGATACATGGGCCATCACATCAGAAGAGAAGATTTTGAAAAAGTAGCAAAATGACTGGTGTGACCATTCCTTAAATATCAAACAACTTCTCTGGGGACGAAAAGCATCGAAGTTAACTTACAACAGATAAAGGAGGCTGCATGGTCATTGACTTACTTGACAGATATTTTCATGTTAGGTGTGAACTGGTGACTAATCATTGTCTTTGGTGAAAGGATGCCAGAGAATTTCATGAACTTCCCTCACAGGTCGTACAAAACTTCTCTGAATCCAGTGGTGTGTGCTAAAGATAAACTTCCTCATAGAAAACCTAAAGACGCTCGAGCATATGTTATAACAGTCGGCAGTCATAGGCAATCATCGGCCAGGAACCCATTGGGTAGCCAGCCGTCTACTTTTCCAACGACCACAGTGTAGTTTGTTTTGGATTATCTCTACTGGAAGACGATATCTTCAACTTTATGGGAATAAATTATGTATCTACTCAATTCAATAACGTGAGATTAGAAAGATTTCAGTGTGTGTGAACAATTTTGTTTGTAATTTCTTCTTCAACGCAGTTCTGGATTTGCTATACAGCATTTATTGTATTATCTTGAAAGTGAATACTTTAGAAACGATGATGAATATTTTCCTTGCCACAGAGACATTATGTGCATCATTGGCAAAATGGTAATGTATTACATCACTGGAAGTCTAGTCTGACTCGACAACTGAAAATCTGAAAACGATCGCTTAAGGGTCAAGTTCTGCTGACCTTTGAATTAGCCGATGAAAATATAGCTTTCAAAAATCCGAAAGTTAATCAAATTGTTCGGCAAACATTCATTCTTTTCATCCACACTGCTCAGTCTTCAGACGCGAAGATATAAGACCTCATCTGACTGGTTAATAAAATTAGCAATTATAGTTTACCGAACGTGATCCTATGCGGTCGATGTCAGATCTTCATGTATAACAGTGGAGACGTAATTCTAATCAGATTGATATGTATGTATGTATGTATGTATGTATGTATGTATGTATGTATGTATGTATGTATGTATGTATGTATGTATGTATGTATGTATGTATGTATGTATGTATGTATGTATGTATGTATGTATGTATGTATGTATGTATGTATGTATGTATGTATGTATGTATATATGTATGTATGTAAGGCGTGTGTATAAATAATCATACTCCATTCATTGGACAGAAGGTGTGGGGCTTTAATCACTAGTACGGCATATGGGATAGAATATCAAAAGTATGAGTTGGATGGTATATCAAAAAGGATGTGTTCGATAGAATATTAAAAAAATATGTGTTGAATAGTAATCAAAATGTGATGTGCTGAAAAGAATATATACAAGTGGTGTGTTGGAATACATCTGCAAATTTTAACAATACATTTCACGTGGACCTCTATAAATTTTAAAATATGGAAATGAACTATAAATGAGAATGTGAACATGACCATTCCCATAATTCCCCAACTGTTGCCTAGTGTAAACCTACCGTGTAAATGTTAATGCCCGTATGATCCGGTAAATTCTTCAAGTTTTCAAGTTAATCGCTTGTATCAATATTAACATGCAATCCCATTTGATGTAAATCACTTCAAACAATATTACAATGCATTTTCAATGTTCATTGAGGGATCGTAGCCAGTTATCTTCCCTTTAAACCGATAGATGGCAGCATGGAGCAAAGCGGTCCAAGAATATTTCAGGTTTTCTTTAGCTTAACAAACAAGCAATCAAAAACATCTTCTGCTTGCTTTACAAAATCTTTCAACCATATGGATTATAGACGTTAACGTCAGTGAGACAGCGGTTAAAACAGACTAGGAGGTAAGTTATAAGGCCGAAAAAAGGAGTTAATCGATAGGCAAGCAAATATTAGGCATAATCTGTGTTGTTGAAAATGGAAAATCACCATTTTAAGTATAAGCATAAAAATAAAATACTCAGTTTCACACAATTAACTTTGTGATTCTTTTCTGAAATTATTTTTCAGCAGATTCATATCCCTAAAATAACATAATTCATATATAATTCTGCGATTCATTCTAAATAATTCTTTAGATTGTCACTTGGTAGGGTAATTTAGTAAAAATTATCGACTTCCTTTTCTAGGATTTAGATATTTAGTTTGGAAATGTACAAGATTCACATTGAATATTTTTTTACGTTAAAAACGTTAGAAACCTCAAATGTCAGATAATGTAAACTCATATCGTAATGTTAATGTCTCGTAGACACCACAACCCACATCGTAATTTTAATGTCCCGTAGACACCACAACCCACATCGTAATGTTAATGTTCCGTAGACACTACAACCCACATCATAATGTTAATGTCCTCTAGACACCACAACTCACATCGTAATGTTAATGTCCTATAGACACCACAACTCGACTGCTACAAGCATTCGACGATCTGGTCAAGTTCAAAAGACATTCGAGTGCCAACACGGCCGGGTAGACGTCATAAAACGCAACACCTTCTACAAGAAAATGTCTAGCCATCGGAAAAATTGAACGTTGGTTTCTCATAAGTAGGTGGCTCATATGCGCTAAAAATTTACAGCTGTAATATATAAGGTGACGTAGTGGACAAAAGCTGGTCCAAAGAGAAAGTTGCAGTTGAAATTTCAATGTCGCATGTCGAGAAATCAAATGTCACGTGTTGGATCAAATTTCATGTCCTTAAAGAAACATTTTCTACATTGTATCTGTTGAATAAAACAGAAATGGTTCAAAGTTATATTTTCTATATCGAGTTTTTAATTTGTAGTTGAAATTTCAATGTCATACGTCGAGAATTCCTAATTGATTCAAAGAGTTTTATGTTGAAAGTTCCATTTCGTATATTTAGTATTTAGATTTCGTCTGTTGAATTACACAGCACTGGTTCAAAATTCAATGTTCATGTCCAGTTTTTAAATTGTATCTTCTCAATTACACGGTGGTTGTTGAAATTTCAATCTTATATGTTGATAGTTTCAATTTAATATTGAATCACATTGATTGTGCTGAAAGTTCCATTTCGAAAGTTGAGTGTTTAGATTTTATCTGTTGAATTACACCGCGGGTTTTGGACATTTTATTGTGCTGTATCAGAATTGTTTTGTTTTTTTAATGGTGAAATGATGTGTTGGTGTTAAAAGTAACATTGCATAATGTCCACTTTAAAAATTCAAAATAACATCGAGTATAAAGATACATCATTTGTGTAATGAATTATGAGGTGCCATTACATTTCAAGCATTTACCGTTTGAAAGCTACCATTTACAGGTCGAGAATTACTTGGAATTTCTTCGCTAGAGGTCGCTCTCGTGAACGGATCGCGTTATTTTTAACAAGGAGGCTGCTTCTCGTTGCTGTAAAATTCAACAGATAAAATCTAAATACTCGCCATATTAAATGGAACTCGCGTCACAAAAGTTACATGTCAATTAGGAATTCTCGACATACACTGTCAAACGTCGACATAGAACTTTAAACCACCACTGTATAATTCAACATATAAAATCTAAAATCTCGATCTAGAAAATGTAACTTTAAAGATATGCAATTTGATCCAACACGTGATATTGTATTTCTCGACATACGACATCGAAATTTCAACCGCAACTTTTTCTTTGGACCAATTTTTGTCCGCTACGGCGTCTCATAGTAATAAACAAGGTTATTCATATAGACTACATATATTATTTATATCGACCTAAGACACTATTACCATGATTTTCATTTTTAAATTTGGAATACCATTTTATGGCAAGTTATTTTTCAGTGCTCATTTTTGTGTAATAAACGGAGACTGAGAAATGATCTATTTACATTCCGCTAAATATTCGGAGACCAAACTTGTGAATTCCAATCTTTCAGACAACTAGCGAATAAAATTATATTTGTGTATATATTTTTGTCTACCATTTCAACGTCAAAGATTAGTTTAGAAAAAAAATATATGTGCATCTAGTAAAAATTTACAATTATCGCCTCTGGTACATACATATTTACTATGTGTCATTTTTATTAGGAACTAGACATATTTACTGTGTTCCCCTTTTATTAGAACAATACATATTTACTATCTGCTCTTCTTATTGGGAATTAGGTGTTTCACAAAAAAAAAATGTTCATATATATATGCGCATATTCTTTAAAAAGAAAAAAACAGTTTAAAGTGTTTTAGTTGTTCATATTGTTAAATAAATAAACAATTAAATTGAAATAACTGTTTCAATTCAATTACCTAGTATTAAAAAATAGGCAATTCTGATAAACTTTTTATGACCGTAAAAATAACGGATCATAGGATGGAATCCAAATTTGACAACAAGGCGTATCAATAGAACCGGGATCCATTATCTAATTTTTGCAGAGATCTCTCAAAACGATTCATTTCTATTATTTTATTGACTAATAAATATGGCACACAGGGTGGTAATTACCGAATTCAATAACATAAATAGAACCATTTGGTACCGATGACGCATGAATTTGCGGCGATAGGAGCTCTTCCTGCGTAATTTGTCTGGACTGATAGTGAATTTTGGATGCTGGTTTTTAATCGTTCTTACAAACACATTAGTCACTTGTCA